AACCTAGCGTGGGTTTCAAGGAACCCAAGCGTTGCGTTCGATGGAACTCGCGCCTGGGTTCGTTTGAACCCAGTGCTGGGGGTTCCATCAAACCCAGGCTTGGGTTCCATCGAACTCGCGCCTGGGTTCCAATGAACCCAGGCGTGGGTTCGATGTAACCCAGTGGCAAAAAAATTTTTTTTTCTTTTTGTTTTCTGTGGGTTTTGTTTTGTTTTTTTTTTTTTGTTTTTTTTGTTGTTTTTTTGGTTTTTTGTGGGTTTTGTTGTTTGATGATGATGAAAAACTCAAAATATAGAAATTGATTGAGGTGAATAGGTTGGTTGAGATGTTAGAGATTTGCAGAAGTTGAAGAAATAGTTGAAGGGAAGAGGAAAGTGAGGAACGAAAAAAAAAAACTAAATTGTTGGGATAGAATTTTAGCTCGGTTCAAGCTGGACTTGCTAGCGTGTAAAAAAGTCTGAGTTGGCATGAATACGTTAATAAATGACGGAAATTAACGATGGAGGTATCGCACCTGACTTTTCTGTTGTTAAATTTTGCTTTATTTCCCTAAATTCGAAAACATGAAGAATAAAAAAATAATATATTTGGAAACATAAAGGGTAAAAAATTATATATTGTAATATGAGGGGTAAAATACCTTAAATTTAAAAAATTAAAGGGTGAACGGGTACCTTTTGCCAACATGGAGCTAGATAATTTATTGGAAACCATCCAAATAGAATTTAAGAATTTCAAATTATATTCATAATCCTTATCAGGTACTATCAATTAAATTTGAATTTCTAAAATAATCACAATACTCCAAAAATAAAAATAAGTACAACTCTAACCTTAATTATTTCAACTTTGTCAATATGAAACCAGCGTTTTTTGTCAATATATTCTATTTTATGTTCTTTTCAACGTTTTCCGAGAACTCCATTTAAACAAGAAAAGCGTATATATAATATAATATAACCATATCATGTTCGTTTGCAAGCTGCTTCTTTCACATCACGATTTCTCCTTTTCTCCCTCAAATTCAAAAATGAACAATGTTCAACACAAGTTTGTACATTTTTCTTGGTTCTTTTTCTTCTTT